AAGCAAGAAGAAATTCCCATGGTTAAAATAAGTGGGTTCCCTGATGATTTGGGAGGCTTTTGTCCAAAAATTTTTTTTTTTTTTTTTTTTTTTTGTGAAACATCCTGATTAGGAGAAAGTTGAGCCCAACTGTTTTTAAGTGCAACACTTATAAACTATGCTTGATACTCCAATCAGAGAGGCCAGCTAGCAAAGAATCTCTTTTCTGTAAATTCGGTAAGATGCATTTCCAAAAAAGATGGGAGCAAGAGGTGGCCTTTCAATGTGCAGCACAAAATGTAAAAGCACTGTTTTGCCACTCTGATGGCATGTTTCATGTCAGCTCTGCACATGTTCTGAGTCATCTCCTCAGACCTAAAAGGAACATCTTTTGCTTTCAGCACAGCATGCAGCTGCTTTTTATCCGAGGCTTTCTCTGAGATGATAGACATACTCCATGCACTTCAGGACGCATGCTGCCACAGAAAATATGCGGTCATCCTAATTCATGTTGCTACCTTGACCATATCCAAATCAGTGCACTTTTAGTAGTTATGTAATATTGACATAGCTGCTTCAATCTAAGCTCCCAGCTGGCTACTGTGTTTTTTTTTTTTTTTTTTTGCTCCGATAAGTAGGGGTCTGTATGCATGAATAAGCATCACAGAAAAGTTGTCTAAGAAGTCAAGACAGCAGCAGGAGATTGCCTTAAATACCTTCTTCATATTTAAGTATGCTAGATCCACTGTGTTGATGCCCCCAGTAAAAAAAAAGAAAAAAAAAAAAAAAAAAAACCAAAAAGAGCTGTCCTGGTAACTAACACTAGATGCAATTTTTATTGGTATAAAGCATTTTTGCTTTTATCGTTGTACACCTGTAAATCTGTGATCTACAGACTGACGTCAACGATTATTACCTAAAAGACCATTCAGACATTTTTTAATATTATATATATTTTTTTTTTTTATAATGGCTTGTGCTCTGCAATTATTATTACTATGTTATGCTGTACATAGTCGCTGTCAGACAAAAGCCTTGCACCTCCAAAATAGAAGTTTTCAGGAAAGGAAGAAAGCCTCTTTCTTATTCATGTTAATTCTTTGTGTTTGCTGATTTTTCAATGCCTATTGATCAATAAAACCACAGACATGAAGGTTTATCATTAGAGCTGATCTTCCAAACCTTTTAAAGATTAGGTTTCTTTTTATGCCAGTGTAGACAGCTTTCTGCACACACATGCACAAGCATGCACACACACGTGCACACGCATGCACACACACATGCACGCAGACACAAAATATTAACCGTATTTTCTAAATGTAATTTAGGTCATTCTCCGAGACACCTGAGCAAGCAGACATATTTTAGGAGAATAAAATCAGAAGTTTGTTGAGGCTAAAGCCAAAAATTATCAGTCAAATGATAATTTATAAGTTATATATATACTTTTTTCTCCCTGTGCTATATGTGGTGTTTATATGATAGAACTCTTGAGGGTCCTTGGTTGAGCATAAGGCATGCTGAAAGATGGGGTAAAAGAGCCCTTAGCCAGATGATTGGACGCTCATATCCAAGCCTTAATTCTAGTGTGCAACAGTCATTTATGGCTTCAAGATTGCTCAATAATGCATCAGAACCCACAGGCCTTCAGGGGAAGCAGCCAGTAATCAAAAAGTAAGTTAAGGTTTTCATAATAAGGGACTATAAATAACTTTGGACAGAAATGGGGGCATGTAAAATTTATAGGCGATGATTCAAACCCCATGAGGTGGATAAGCTTAATGCAATAAGAAAGCATGTGATATTAAGAGAAGTAATGATTTGATCACATATGGAAGATGATTTTTTTGCATAGTAGATTACTTATGCCTTAAATGTGTCGATAAACAATATCAAAATTGTTCTGAAGGTTTAACTTCCAAAATCTTCCTTTATTTTTAACATATACTGTGTACATCAAACTATTTTAAAAAAGGTTTAAACAGTCAAGGAAACTTTGTATAAGAAATTGGTATCAATTAAGCTTATAAACAAGTAAAACTAGCTTTCTCTACTTGCAAGGATAACATATTTATACTGACAATACTCTAAAATATTGGAGTTTTAACATAAGAACTGTTAGAATGAAGTACATGTATAATTGCTGAAACCGTGAGACACTTTGCCCTAAAACTCATAGCTGTAGGAAGGTTCAGGCAGTGTGATGCAACACCAAAACAAATCATGTCAGGAATGTTTTTTGTGGTGAATGTGGCTTTCAGGCATACTGCAATGCAATATAGGTAAACAAAAAAAACATGAATTTATGTAACTGGACATTGTGTAAGTGTGTGTCTGCATGGTTATACGTCCTCTTTGTCTCTGTGTTGTGTTGAACTGGTGAACAGTCTACCTCTTGCCCCATTAAGCACTCCAGAAAGACACTAGATCGCTCACAAACATGCGTGAATTGAGTGGGAAAAGATTACAGGTAGTTGGACTTTTTGGAGACCATAATTTCAGTTATGTTAAACCATCAGTGGTGACGCTTGGCAAGTGCTGAGTCAGCTCAAGAAAAGCTAATTTAGTCTCAAGCCTTTTGTTTTTGCTTTAGCTTGTTTGGCATTTCTAAATTTTGCATTAAGTCTGTCCAAATGTTACAGTGGCAATACAAATACTTTTTGGGATTTAGTTTGGTATGTTTTAAAATAGTAAAAACATTATTTTAATTTATTTTTAAAGATACAGCACAAATTACTATTTTCAATTTTGCTTGTTTTTGAAATAATCTGTGTTTAGTTATCTCTTCAGCAGTTTTAAACCAGATAAATAAATAATTGTCAACCAGCCTAAAAACAGCGCTACTGTTCCTGGGATACCGGTCCAGGTACTTCCAACCCGTTAGATGGATCATGTAGCAGTCGTCAGCGACACGTTTCAAATACATCATCCTTGATGTTGTTTGGGCAATGAAACATTGATTTCTCTTTTTGCTGCCCTCCCTTCTCCTGGTTCAAGCAGGCAGTTTTGGACTTTAAACACAGAAGGTCAAAAAAAATAAAGGATTTTATAACAGTGAGCCACTGAGAGTTTAACATTTGATCCAAGCTTTGAAAGCAGCTATCTTTTGCAAGTGAATGTATGCTTTTTTTGTGTAAAAATGACATAATCTGAAACTGTATGTCTTTTGCATAAGATTATGTAACTCCTTGTTTCAGAGACAGCATTATTTTACTGATAAAAATCCAGCTAATGATGTTATTAAACATTACTGAACACAACTGGACAAAAGCGTGGGTAAAACAATTCTGAGTGTCTAGTAACTCGGTAGTTATAATGTGCATAAAGGGAATAATTTTAATTCATAGTTTATGTTGACCTGATTTAAAAAATACTAGGAATGCACTGATGTGAAAATGTGGGCTATTATTAATATCTGATTCTGATATAGCTGCTATGGCCAACAACCAACACTTACTGATATCATATATGTATATTTTATATATTTCACTACCTTTCAGCATCTTAGAAAAACCCAATCACACCCCTGACACCATCATAGCTTTTCTGTTTCAGTTAAACTCCCCACAATCCAGCACTGCATCACTAAAAAATGTCTCGTGATCAAACAAATAATCACTGGGCATCACAAATACCACATGACAAAACGCTCTCAACTCTCCCTTCAGAAAAGAAAAGGCAACTAGATGGAAATAAATATTGGTCGTTATATCTAGCCAGTTTTATTTATCAGACTCATACTCATTTAAAAATGACTAATATAAGCCGATACTGTTGTCAGGGCCAATATATTATCCATTCCCCAAAAGGTATATTTACTAAATTTGAATTTTAGCTTGAAGAAAGCTGCATTTAAATCCCATATTTTCTTGTTTCCCAAATTTTCTACCCATCTTTCTCCTTAATTCACTTAATCTGATCCTGGTAAAACATATTTAAGCTCTTAAAGAAATGGTCTTGAAGGGGAAAAAAAGCAGGTGAACAATGGACATCTGAACAAGAATGGGAGCAAGAAATAGAAGAGGCATCTTTCAGCAACATAATGTGAAAAAATCATTTAGAGAATTTTACTTTGTGTCAAAATTTTTAAACCCTCAATCTAATTCAGCAATTGTGCTGGACAAACAAATTTGGTATCTTCGTATAAGTTATTTTCAGAGTTAAAAAAGGGATCTACTCAATGATATGTAGGTGGTCATAATGTTATGATTGCTTAGTATTTATTGCCCACGTTGTCATTTATCTCTTACCAGATCAAAAACACATAACTCTTATGATATTGCACTACAGTCTCAAGTTGCTGAGCAATTATCTTTATAATTTTTAATGACTCCTCCACTATCTGTAGGTTTTGGGTCTGCAGCCTCTGTGTGCCTAGTCTCTGCATGGCAATGTCCAGTGATTACCAGGAGCCTCACACTAAGCCTCATCTATCTGCCTGGCTGCCTGCTAATCTGCCTGACCACCCTGCTTATTCAATCTCCTGCATTGAAGTACACACTGGTTCGGGCTACACTGTCTGGTATTCCACTCATACACTCTGGTGAGAGCCACTCACTCAAATCCACTTATCAGCTGGTGACCTTCAATTTTTTATTTTATTTTTTTCACCAAGCATCCATCTCAACTCACCGATTCCAGATTTGACTTTTATTAAACTTGGTGACAATTTTCTGGTTTTCTTTTTTTAAAAGACACCTTTGGGTCAGAATCCTAGCCTAACATGAGAAAAATTATTTCTCCTCACTTGCACTGTTGAAATGTGGATATATTTATATTGGCTATTTTAAGACAGGTTAATCAATGCTGTACATTTTTTGTATTTTCCTTTCTAGAATATTGAATATAAAATCATGTTGAAAATTTCCAAACACCCTGCAGCAAAAAAGGTTCAAAATAGATCAACATAGGAATAAATAACTTTAAAATTTATACCTGGCTTATAGTTAAAAAGTACAAGGGGAGTTGAATTGTCTTTCATGAATTTTAGATGCTAAACAAATGAAAATGTCTCGACTTACCGTCAAACTTTTTATGTCTGGAGGTGAATGTTGTTCTCATGTTGTGGCTGCTGTCGTCAACCATAATCTCAAATTCCTGCTTGCTTTGCTGGCTGAGTTTGTCCTCCATCTCAGATGTGCAGCAGGTGTAACCCTTGGGACAGACACGGAGGTGCTCACCTGAACGAAACAGAGACACGGAGAACCGTTTTGCAATGCCACAGGATTTGGATGTTTCATAAGGCTGCGCTAAGTCTTTGATCAAAAGTCTCCCGTGATTGTTGGGACTCTCGTCGCTGAAACTATCAAAGACAGCCAGAGTGTAACAAATGAAAAAGATAATGTTTATTGGTGAGATGGAAAGTAACTTTTATATACCAGCGCCTATTCCCCATACAGCATCTTTATCACATTGCCGTTACAGGAGATGGAAAATACTGTTTTCAGAGCCGAGTCAAGTCGGGTCAGTCTTATGTATGCAGTCCAGAATAACAAATTAGCCGTAAGGCATGCAGCAAGATGGAGCCTGGCATGGCTTCAAACTATGACATCAGCCAAGCAATTTTGGATAATGGTTACATTAGAGGATTTCTGTTCACTAGGGGCCAGCATAACAAGCTATAAACAAATCACTAACATATTTTGTCATGACAAGTAACAATTGCCCCTTTACTCATCCATCAGATACCAAACAATATTTGTTTGAAGTCATCTTTCTGCAAATCCTATACAGAACTAAAGCAACACCTCTGGTGTGAAATATTTGGTAAAAATATCATAGTGATAAACAGAAATCAGATAGTTACAAATGGTGTTTAATTTAAAACATGGAGAGAATTTATTTGTTGAAAATAGTGCAAATGAGACTGTTGACAGCAAAGAGTCACAAAATGCTTGATTGATGGGAATTTGCCATTTGTTCTCTTTGTGAAGAGACCAGAGTGGAATTTTACATTAACCTCAGAAAACCATTCTAAATATGTTAGACATTCTTAAATAGTTGAGAACGTGTAGAAGTGGAAACTCTACATTTAATAATTTCTTAATTTAGTTCTTATTAATCCTGGGTAACTGAACAACTGTATTTCTATTACACCTAATTTTTATAATAAAGAAAAATATTATTTACTTTAGAGTTGATGGAAAAAACAATCCACAAGAAAACCAAACAGGTCAAAGAGGTGTTTGTGTGGAGGACCCAAATGCAGGGAAGAGGAAAGCTGAGGTGGACTCAAATATAAAGATAGTTAATAAATAAAACTAAATTAAGCACATTAAATTAAATAAATCCAAAATAAAACAGAAACAAGGGAAGACGACTAAGGAGAACATACTAGTAGTCAAGCAGATGAATCAGCGATGACTGAAAAACCAAAGACGACTTTCCACTGGGGAATACGAAAAGAATTTAACTAATTAGCAGAGTGGAAAACCAGAGAGCAAAGAAAGAGGGAATCAAATAGAAAGAATGACACAACAGTAACCACAAACTAAAAATGTGTCAACTGTACACAAACAGAACACAGCTAGATATGAAAAGGTCTCAAAACCCACAGGAGACCGGGGAACTCAGAAATACTAAAAAACAGGAAGTAACTAGAACACAGAAAAGAAATGGACAAAATAACCTAAATAAAAGAAGAAACTATCAATAAGAAACTCAGAAGCTGAAAACACTAAATACAAGAAATATAATTACACAAAATAATAAACAAAACCAAACCCATAAGAGAATGTTGTATAAAATTAAAGTCTGGCTTTGAAATTATTACTACCAATAGTGGGAGAGAAAAAAAACATACTATAATTTTAAGTTGCACCATGACCCACTAACTGCTTTTGAAACCAGAGAACAAAGCAACAACCCAATATTAAAAAAAGACAGACATTGTAATTTCTTTCAACAACATCTCCAGAAGTTGTTTAGAAAGAGAGCATCCATTAGCAGATTCTTTGGAAAATAATTGTACTGTATCTTTGACTCTTTTCAGATGCATAAAGAATTACCTAACACGCTATTTCTCTGCATGTTGCACACACTGGCACTGAGAATCTCAGGCATCATTAGGGATTAAATGAAAAAGTCTGGCTAGAAGCCACATGAAAGGTTTGAGTTTTTCCACATCCACCTATTAACAAATGAAAAGAGAGATGAAACGAGTGCCACTGTTCCAGTGGGGAATTGGCATGGCGGACAGTGAGAGTGGGACTTTTTTTCAGAAATCCTTCTACAGTAAACCACTGCTTTAAATGGCAGGCACTAAGGTGCTTTGCATTCTTGTACAGTAAGTCATGGATGAAGCAGCTCTATATGGATAATGAAACGGGGAAGATGAGGGATATACGTGCAGGCACTCTCTAATGTACCTAATCCATAATCAGACCTAAGAAAGGCACCAAACTCCAGTAATGAGGTGCACCATCAACATTTCAACATAAACACTTTCCTCCAGAGTCTTGCCATAGCCTTCTAGTAAAACTTCATAAAACCTAAAAAAATTAAAAAATAAAAAAGCTGATTTACAACTGTCGATTTCTCCTTTATGCTTTTTCTAGGCTTTTAGGCATTTTTGCTAATTGACAATGCGGTTCAGTTAATGCAAAAGCATCATCCCACTCTTATACGTAACAGCCAATATGTGGAGCATCACTGTGTGAAAATATGTCAACATAGACATTCATTAATGTGTCAAAATGCCTACAAAAAAAAAGAGGATGCTTAATAAAATGCTGCAATGATGCAAGGGAAACACACAGTAGCTTCATCATCACCGTATTCACAGATTTAACAGTCAAAAATCATGCACTCTTTTCCTGTCATTTACTTGAGATATTCTTTTTATGAGGTCGCACTAATCACAGATTATAATTCATGCTACATTGCCTACAAATAATAGGGTAATTAATTCATCTTAAACTAGCACACTTGGACAATATTAAAGAAAACTGGTCATTCCAGGTGTACAGCATGCTTGACAGAGTCAGAATGTGTAGCTGTCCAAATAGGTGTGAGCTTGGCACAACAGTAGATCTGCGCCTTAGAGTCATAATGATGGATAACTGAGGGAAAACTACAGCTTTGTGCTATAGTTTGAGACCCTGTGAGTTTGAAGGACTGCAAGTTGCTTTCAATTTTAGGTTTCCTGCAATGCAATAAAATTGGCTTAAGTTGTTGGAATACCACTGTTGGCTACTGAAGACTGGCAAAAGAAAGAAAATCAATAAAAGGCAGACCTGTCCTTAAGTGTAAAAGACAGGTGAAGGGAATTGGTAGTGCTTTTAGCTTTCACAGGCTGTGCACCTCTCTATTCACCTCTCAGCTTTGTTTTCATATAAACACGTAATTTGACTTCACCCTTCCTCTGTCACTAAAGCCAACCGACAATAAGCCTTTGTGAGTAGTAGACATGAGCATGAGCTGCATTTATAAGGTCTTTTAAATGGCATGGTTGCATGTTAAACCCTCTTTGTGCTTGTCTTCATGTCTCTTTTTTCATAAATAAAACGCCAATCTAAACTGCACATTGTAAACAACAGTAATAGTAAAGTCACATGAAATTTTGCAGCACTTTTTGAATGCTTCGTCTTTGGGTTGTGAGGTTTGCTTTTTATAAACACAAGTGCAAAACTGGATATGGTGGTGTCTCATTAAACAGGATTTTCCCTGTTTTACTTCACTACTTTGCACAAGAAAGAAAATATGGAACCATGCAACATTCTGCATGGCTCCATTTTGCATATGGAGCCATGGATATGGCTTCAAGACAACTTTTGCAGAACTGTTTCCTTTAAGTTTTCAAAAGATAACACTGCATTGAAAAAACTGGCCACAAGAGATAGTAGGGTCTATCTCTTGTACTCAAAGTATTTTTTTAAAAGCCTAGGTGAAAAAAATGTGCAAATGTAATTAATAATAATAAAAAAAGACTCTGCATAATGATTGGTTTTGTTTGAAGGACACAAAACTGTTTTACTTTGGACATTATTAAACAACACATGTTTTAATCTCAAGCTCTGACACATCCACCCACATTCATAATTCATTAACCTACTGACATAATCACAAATTCATGGGTCACCACACACAGCCATGCAGAAATCCATAAAACATTGTTTGCTTAAATGATCATCAGATTTATAAACAAATAATTATGTAAACAATGTGGAATTGCACAATTAACTGCAACTTACTCCATCTTACTAATGTGGCATTCTGTCCTTGCAGCTGCACAGCAGCTCAGATGCCAGAGCAGAGCACACTGCTGCTCAGCTTTCTGAATGAGCTGATCAGGGATTTAAATGTATGTAATTATAGACTGTGAGAAAATTTAGGATAAATGCTAATGTTCTTGGGAGATCTTTCAATGAAATGTTGTGTCATTAGCTTAAATGCATTTCAATCAAACAAAAATTAGAAACATGTTTTAGGTTGCAGATGCAATCATCTGTTTTGTCAGTTTCTAAAAAGCACAGATGCGCTTGGCTCCCCCTGATCATCACATACAATATGCTCCCAGTGATGATTGAAAATAAATGTAATTATGAAAAGTCGTTGACCAGTTTGTCATCTCAAAGTCCAGTTGATTTGTCAGAGAAAACATGGTGAAGCATGGTTGCATGACAAACACAATCAGCCGTGTAAATACAATTCCTCCGCTGATGAAAAATATTAAATATTTTGTAATTGGGGCCTGCCATAGCAATGCAACTTACGCATTGCATGGCAAGCACATATTGCACCCAATAGAACGTCTCTTCATTATTATAGTTTATTTATTTTTCTTCCATCACCGTTAAGGCGGCCCGTACCGCTGCGTGCACCCCCACAAAAGTGGTATCAAAACGTTCAGCTTGATCCCAAGAAGGGAGATATTACTTTTAGTGGGATTCTGAGTTAAAATGACGACATAAATTGATCAAAACAAGAAAAATCGAGGCCGAGTGTCTCATAGAATCAGTAATCTTTCTCTCTGAAACACACACACAGCACAGTGGATTTCTGACTCCAAAACTCTTTTTAACTCCCCCTCACAGGCACAAATATCACCCTATTGGTCTAAAAGTCGGTCATGACATAGATACACATGCCTGCTCCCGTAAAATGATTTCAAAATTTTGCTAGGGCTTATGGTTTTTTTGTTAGGGTCCTTGAGACCGATGCTGGGTGTCTTAGAAGTATA